TTATACTCATTCTTTCTTCGCTAACGCTGAGGTTTGTGGCTATTTTTTTATATACATATATCATCGGCAGTACACATACATATGCATGTACTTATATACTCTGTATTCGTGTGTGTTATTTTCGTTTTATTTTGGCTTTGCTGCTTGTTTTTATTTCATTTATTTTGGCCTTTTTAATGGATGTGAAATAAATTTCGCTAATGCTGCTTTTGCAACTTTTTATTTTTCCATTCGCATTCGCTTGCCGCTCACCGCCTCAGCTTCCACGTTTGCTGGTTGAACGTGAGCGACGTTGCCGCTTTTCTCATGTTGAAAATAGAAACGGCATTAAAGTTTTATGTGCTGTGGACTTTTCAGTATTTTTGCATAAAACAGAATTCCCTGTGTGATTCGCTATGGTTTTATGATTGCTGTTATTTCATTCTTGTTGAAGTAACCAAAAAAAAAAAAAACAAGGGTTTATTCGGTTTAAAGACTTACAGAAGTCTACAGCGTCTGATCACTATGAGGTGAGCCAGCTAGTGAGGAGCAAGCTGCTCGCTATAAATTCCCCACTTCCTTGAAGCCACGTAAGAATCCAAAAATTAAGCCTCGGATAAGACCTTTCCAGTATTGTAACGACCTCGGCAAACCCTATAAGGACTATGATTTGAGGGCATGCATTCGGTGTGTCAGGTGTGTAAACAGGCCGGCTGGTTTAAGCCCGCGTGAAAGGAATTGACTGAACGCCACACAAGGTATTTGAAATTACATTTGGGGATATGCTTAACAGCTGTTTCTTGTTTACAAAGGAATTTGCGACTTTGCGCGAGGTTTTAACGTCGTCATCACCCGAACACATCGACACAGAAAATAATATTGCGGCTTAAGAAAGCTGTAGAACCTTCCGACTTCTACTACAGTTGGCATGTAAAGATGTCGAATATTTGGTTCGAGAGAGATTTCGTCACCAAGCACTGCCATTCACTCTGGCGAACGAACAATTTGCCAAAATCAACTTCAAAGAGAGATTCTTCCAACGACTCGTTAGTACTTACATAGAGTGCTGCCCACGCCAAGATACAAAAATCGGGCATCCTACATGGCGGGATAAGACTGTTTTTCGTTGTCTGCATACTGCTGCTAGGCAAATATAAAAGGTTCTGCGACTCGCGGTACTGTGCATCACCGGAGCGCTGAGGCTCACTCCTCTGAACCTGAAATGATCCCCAGTTTACCGCCCATTGGCCTATTCGCGGAAAATCGTGCTGCTAAATCCGCACATAGATTGAAGGCAATAGGGGAATGCAATTTCATAACCTTTGGGCACAGCTTATTGGGGCTGGAAGCACAGGAAGCACGGTCTACATGGCACTTAGCTTTAAGTGGGAACGAAGGTTTGGCACAACGATTGAGGAGGAGGGATGGCGCAAGGGAATGAACCCTAACCGTAGATCCCTAAACATATTCACGGACGGACCTGAAAAAGCAACGGAAGTGGGTGCCGGTATTTACTGCTGGGAACTGAACGTTGCCTGACCATTGCATGAGCCCCATGAGCTAAGTAAAATTCTGACTTTCGTATTCACCACGAGAAATGTTACTTTGGTCCATCAAAATTTTCTTCCACAAATTGGTACAGGCTCTTACTGAAATATCGTAGTTTTTGTATATTACGAAAATATCGTTATATGAGAAGAGGGAGTGGTTACAGGCAGATTTCTCCCATTTTCAGTAGAAGTCTACCTTGTATAAAGAAGGGTAATCTACACACCAAATATTGTTGAGATATCTCGATTTTCGCTCGAGTTATCGTGCACACGGACAGACAGACGTGGCTTAATTGAATTCTCTTTTCATTCTGATCATTTATGTATACATTTGTCGATATCTATCTCGATTTCTTTAGGCTGTTACAAACAACCGTTATACGAACAAGGTTATAATTCCCTGGTGCACAAGTGCGCTCGGTTATAAAAACACGAACCAATTAAATATCAGGCAGCTGTTAACCATAAACGCAAACATATGAACTTGTTTTTACGTAACGTTTGTTTAAATTTTACAAAACCAGTCAAGATAGCGGTTTCAGAATGACGAAAAGAATAACTGTATAAGTCGGAATAAATCACTAAAGTAATATCGCAAGTAATACTATGGTCGGTATTGTAATTTTCGTCGGAACAGATTCGCGATGTAGCCACACCTTAAGTATGTAATCTAAAAATAGGGGTGTTCACACCGAAGCTTGGTACCCGGTTAATCGGTGTTCACATGAGGCGATTTTACAAACAATTTTAAAGGCGATTAGTTTCCTCAAAAGGTTGGCTGCACCCCAAAAATCGTCTCATGCAAAGACCAGGGCTGTTCAGGATATGGTTGAAATGGTCTTGGATTTGCAGATGGAATTGCATTTGATAATTTTGTGCTTGCTGCCATGTAAACCGTGTGCATTTTATTTTGAATTTACAAATGCAACGAACTGAACAGCCCTACCGTATTATTTTTCCCATGTCCCTTGTTTGTGTAATACTACTTTAAACGGCGAGTTTCCAGACAATTTTAGAGGCGATTAGTTGAATCAAAAGTTGGCTACCCCCCAACTTCATTGGAAGCGATTTGTTGAAAGGCCGCTCACACCAGACGATCGTTGCTTTCAACTAAAAGTTGCCTGTAAAATCGCCTTATGTTAACACCGTATTAAACAAACAAAATACA